GTATCTTACTACCGTCCTCACCCCCAATAGAACGCCCGGTCATTATCCCTGTATGATCAGGCACAAAGTGCAGGCCCATGGGCATGGGTTGGAGCCATTGTGATAGGACCCCTTGAGCGCCCTGAACAACTCTTCCAGCCTTGTGAAGAACAACGAAATCATCGCCGTATCTTACTACCGTCTTCGCCCCCAATAGAACGCCTCGGTCATTATCCCTGTATGTAGACTGAAAGTTGCACCAAATACGGCTATAATGACCAAGCCGACCGTTCTATTCGGGTGAAGACGGTAGGATACTCTCCTCTCACTCACATTCCTTCTCCCTGTTCTTTCCCATCTCCCTCCCCTGCTGATCAACATACAGCCGTCCCGCCCCCTCCTCGATCACCTTCTCCACTACTTTTCTAAGGGGCTCGCTGCACTACGCTAACTCACTAGAAAGTTCCAGCGTTCACCGACAGCTGTCCGATCCGACCAAAGAAATGGCCGTCCGATCCGACCAAAGAGGCGGCCGTCCGATCCGACCAAAGAAATGACCGCAAGTGCTGTCATCGCTGCACTTACTCTCGACTCTCTACTCGCCACTCCCGTGAAACACTCTCTCGTGAAACGAGACACAACACTACAGGACAGCTCCACCGCCGTTTGTCCGCCCAGACTGGAGACCCGCACACTAGAAATTTTCAACCGCGTGAGGGGTCCTCGCGACCTCCCTCCCTTGCGCAAACCGGCCTTGCAGGCGGACACTCTCGAATCGTCAAGCGTCAAGCGTCACGCGTCCAGCGTTCGTGATGAGGGCGGTTTATGACAGCTCTTGAAGAGAGAGATGGAGAGCACCTTTACTGAAGTTTGAAGAGAGAGATGGAGAGATGGAGGAGGGAAGATGGACGACGGCGATTGATTTGAAGTTCCAGGCGATTTGCATCTGCTGCTTCCATTGTTTGGGCAAAGCGAGCATCAAGCGATTTATGACAGCTCTTGAAGAGAGAGATGGAGAGCACCTTCCTCTAAAGTTCAGGCAGCGACGTTTTCGAGAGTCACTGTGCATTTGACAGCTCTTGATATGGGAATTCGTGCCGCAGGCTGCCTCAAGAGTTGGTGCAGCGATGACTAACGATTGATTTTTGTCAAGATTCACAAGCGCAGTGCAGCGAGGGCCTAAGACTCGGTAGTCTCTCGGAACTGTCTTTGTCTTCGTCCGCAGTGGGAGGGTGAAATCCCCACCCACTACGTTTCCCAGCTACCGTCTTCACCCGAAAAGAACGGCCGATCATTATAGCTGTATTCGGGTGAAGACGGGAGCTATTTTGCTCCCGTGTGGTCGTATACACACCGACGTGTCTTTCAGGGCGCAGCCTACTGGATCGCTTTTCTTTCAGGGCGCAGCCTACTGGATCGCTTTGGCCGACTTTTTTATTGTTTAAAAAACAAAAACAAAAGTGTCGGGCTCCCAACTTGGCAAGCAACTCCGTATTCAAAATTCTGACGAGTTTTTTTCTGTTAAAAAAAAAATTACAAAAATTATGCCGACTCGTTATCATTTCGGCGCGCAGCACAAATCCATGTTGGGAAGAAGAGGCCTGGACGTCCACTCGTGGCTTTGGAGAGTCTTCCATTTCTCTGCATTCTATTTCCGTCCCAACTTCTTCCTCATCTTTCTGCCCAGATGATTCCTCTTCCCTTCTCGTGCCGGTAGAGATCCAATTCTGTTCAATGAGGGAACTACCTTCTTCCCCCGAATACAACATACGGTCATTATAGCTGTATTCGAGGCATCTTTCAGTCTAGATACAGCTATAATGACCATACAACGTTGTATTCGGGGGAAGAAGGTAACAGCTTGGCCGCCGATGATTCCAGTGGTCTAAGACCAATCCATGACTTCACATTGATTGCAACAGGCACCAACTACTACATATCTTTTCCAAACCATACATCTGATCTGCTTAACCAATCACACATTGTTTGTGTACGCTCCTCGAGGTTGACGAGTCTACTACTCGGGATCGACGAAGCAATCCCTGGCATATTGCTCGCTTTGCCCAAAAAATGGAAGCAGCAGATGCAATTGCTTGTGGCGGCACAGCTTTCCTCACTCTTTCAAGGGTTGTGCCAGCGCACTAAGGCCAGTTTTTTTTTTTTTTTTTGGGAGGGCCAGTTCTCTTTCGTTCCGCCAGTATTTTGGGCCGTGTATGTACGCTCCCCATGATTGGCCAGACTGTTGATTGTGCTCCACGTGGCAATCCTCGTGGAGTGGCCAGTTTGCCTGCAATTGAAGCACGGCCGGGACCCCTCCGACCGTCCGGGCTGTCCGATTGGACAACTGGCCCGAACGTCCGCCCGGGGCCCGCTGTCCGATCCTACCCCTGTCTCTTATACACATCTAGATGTGTATAAGAGACAGGCGCGGTTCATCTGTTCAGCCTGGCCGTTAGCTTCT